CTGTACTCTGGGCTTGTGCGACCTGAAGGGTGTGTGTATCTGGCCGTGTCTCCGTGTCCTCCCCTCCCACCCACTTTGAAATCTCATCCCAGTTTCACTCGTGTCTGGCAGATGTCTTGAGTGCCCCCCTAAACCACCAAATTTTCCCAAGTTTCATCAAAATACGTGAAAGGGTAGAGGGAATAATTTATCCGAACAAAGTGCTGCAAGATGAGCTCCGACCTGAAGGGTGTGTGTATCTGGCCGTGTCTCCGTGTCCTCCCCTCCCACCCACTTTGAAATCTCATCCCAGTTTCACTCGTGTCTGGCAGATGTCTTGAGTGCCCCCCTAAACCACCAAATTTTCCCAAGTTTCATCAAAATACGTGAAAGGGTAGAGGGAATAATTTATCCGAACAAAGTGCTGCAAGATGAGCTCAGACCTCAGCAGACACCTGAAAACACAAATGGAAGCCAGTGCAACTGACCCAGTTTCAGAAGAAGGGTCGGTCTTTGACCTCCCATGAGGACCAAATCCATAGGAACTCGGGTTTCGTTGCTGTGTTCTTTGGCACTGCACTCCTGGCCTCTCTTGAACACCGAAGTATTGCACAGTACTAACATTTTACCTGAAAATTTTAATACGGTGTTATTATTCAGAAGATTATGTTTGTCTTTCTATGCATGATTCCATATTCTTTCATTACGTCATATGTCCTAGATGACCCTTGCTGCAGAAGTCCAGCTTTCTCAAGGCTGACGTGTAATGAATCTTTCACTCTCGGTAACAAAATACATTGCATTGATTTGTCAAAGCATTCCTTTTCCTACATTTTAAACTATATATTATGCTGTAATTTATTGCTGGCTGCTCTTTATTCGTGCACAGACAGCTCACATGCATTTTGCATCCTATTTATAGATTTATTGAGAACAGTAATCCAGCAGCATGCCAGAAGGCTAGATAAATACAGCTGAATAGAATTTGAGAAAATGTTAGATGCTTTTAAAAGTCCAAGATTTGCATCTTCCTTCTGTCTTGTAATTTGTTATTCTGGGCAACAGTGCTTTCCAATAATAGGAAATTTCATGTATCTTCAAAGAGAGCAAATGCCAATATTTTGCCTTCTTCAGTATTTCATTCCACAAAACAAAATGTGGACAGCATGTATTTTCTGAACTCCACAACCCCAAATTTGGATGAAAATGGTCATGCTACTTTTGCAAAAAATATACAAATTGAATTATTATCACCTGTTTGTGAAGTAAAAATACTTTCTAAGAATGAAAGCCATGTTTCAGACAAGATATAAATATAATAATAAAGAAAATGTAATATTGAAATAAGTGTAAATTTCCTTAATAGACTAATTCAGCCTTCAAATCTAGTAATGCCATACCTAAATAAATACATTACAAGAAATATTTCGGATACTATACCAGAATATTGTGGTTTATTATTTTACCCACTTGGCATCAAGTACCTGGTAAATACAGTCTTAAAATCTGAAATGTGAATAATTAGAAACTCCTGTCAACTACTCTTCCAACTTCCCTGTGTTGTCTAAATACCAGAAAGGGGGAGAAATCCAGTTTCCATGTGACAAATTTCACATTTAGATCTCTGTTACATGGGCGTCACTTACCGAATAGGAATTCTGAATTGAGGGAACATTTTGTAATTGTTCTTTGTTTTGACAGTGATCCCACAGCAGAGAACAAGAAGCAAGGGCAGGTTTCACATTTAGAATTCAATTGAACGTAATGCCATGATTCACTGGAAATGAAAGTTCAGATAGAATTGTTGCTTCAGTAAATTTGTGCTTCCTGCTG